ACTCAGTCTCGAAACCTGTATTTTCTGTTGACTATATTTGTATATATATATACACACATCATTAAATTAAATTACTTCATCTGATTTTGTCCCATGTTCTCATTGACCATGCATATTAAAAAAACGAACTGACTATTGTTCCATCCCATCTGACTTATACTTGTTCCACAATACACTTTCTGATATGATTCTAATTTGCCTTTACTGGCTGACTGGCTATTGTATGCGCAAATTAATAGATTTGTAATTGTAGAGCCCGAAGAAGAAAATTATTTAAAACAATTGTTCGCTCTAAATATTTTGTTCTGAATATATATATATATATATATAATACCAATTAGGTTATGCGCGAAATATCTCAATGTGTGCTCATTTTAATTCATTGCTCCCTCTCCGGCTCTCTTTCTCTCGCTCTCCTTCACTCTCAATACCACCTCTCTCTCTTTCGTATAGTCTCTTTTCTAATAATTCATAATAATTGCGAATCATTATCGGAACCAAAATGAAATTGTATATATATATATATATGTATATATATATATATGAGTACATAGGACGAGTCAGCTATATATCCTGTACATGCAGATATATATATATTTCAATGTGATCATGCCACCTAAATGACAGGCATTTCTCTCTCTCAAAATGTTAACGTGACTATTTCACATCACTTTTATTTTACTATAATGTTAAAATTCTCAGCAGAAAATAAAATAAAACCCAACTATTAATGTCATTTGATATAAGAATAGAACTTGTACAGTGTGGTAGAGCATAACTCCATTATGGATGTAATTTTATTTTGATAAAGTCAAAAAGTATTACGGAGAGCCTACGTAGGATTCTTAATAAAGCAGGAATTAGGGTGGCATTCAAACCCTCCTACAGACTCACTCAGTTAGGACAAGCTCTGTAGGCTAAAGGACCCTGTAGGTCGACTGAATCAGGTGAAATAGTATAATTTACAAAGTATCTTGCAGTGACTTTGAGTGAGGTCAACCACATAGGTCAGTCAAAATAGTAGATCAGGAGTAGTAAGATCATCAGAACATAAGAATTTAGATGAGGTTAGAATGATTAACCCCATGAGGATAAGTAATTTAGAAGAATACTCAGCAGTTGCACTGCATGCATTGACACACAACTACACAATAGGTTGGGACAAAGTTAGAATTCTAAAAAGCAATATAGGTAGGTGCAGAGCGAGAGAGATTGATTATTGAATCCTGGTTCATCGAATAATCTACACCCAACACATGCAATAGAAGTTACTCAATGCAAATACCAGAGATATTTATGGAAGATATTATCACCACCAGTCACATCAGAGGAGGATAATAAATAATGTTAAAATGTATTTCAATTCAATTCACATTATAACATTCTAAAAAGTTATTTATTTATATTACTATAAAAACATCTTATTTCTCATCTGATTGTATTTGATTGATAACACTAATATTATTTCCGAATGTACTTTATCTTATACTGATTTTATTCATATGTCTAATCATCAATTTTTACTCATGTATATAAACGACGAAGCAAGAAATTTATGTGAGTAATGCCTTGATATGATGACGATGAGTTGGATTAAATTGTGCTCGAAATGTGGTTATCATCAGTAAATATTGCTGTACAACACTGTGTGATTTCATCAAAATAAAATTTTATCCATAATGCATTTAATGTCATTTTATGTTTGAACTTTTCACCAATTGTTGATAAGCGAAAAGTAAAGCAAAAGTTGAAAATCTCATCTTCATACTGTCATTTAGAAACAAAAATGTTTCTGATGCCATTCTGTCATGTGTGAGGTGAGGCGTTGAATTTCAGCAGTGTACGCATGAGGCTAGTAATAGCGTCCTGGGATCGAATCTCGTTCGAAGGGCATCTGTCAGGGCATCAACTGTAAGACAGTTTGATACATGAGTGCTGACAGTAACATCTTAGAGGCAGAGACCGAGCTTTGGATCAGCAGACTGTTACTGATGCCTCAGTTGTTGACTGAAATTGATAGGGAAATCTGTGTGGTTGTAGAATTCAAACAAGTGCCAGCGTCCAACTCACTTTTCTAACAATCTAGCAGAAGGGACTTGACACCCGACTGCTAATCAGGTCAGAAATCATTTAGGATACCGCCCAGCTGTCATGTGAATAAATTACATGTTACTGACTGTTTATTATTACAACAACTGCTTTACTAAATTCGATCCTGACAGCCCTAATTTCCTAAAATTAGATGGAGAAGATAAGTAATTCAGAGATCAGGAGTTTCAATTCTGTTGTGACCCAAACCTCTTCTTTAATTTCAATCATTACACTTTGTTTCGGTGATTCAGTGTTAGACTGTACGCCAGACAAATGGCAGGTCTCGATTTCATTTCCAGCCAGCATACTTTTAAACTTCACCTAGTTGGTAGCGACTCAGGCAAGGAAGGGAGGTTAGGTGTAGGACCAGTAATCCTACTCAGTAGAAACAACACTACAGCTGGTGAAAGTCCTAAGCTCAAAGCTTGAAGCTCCACGTTCAACTCGGAAGGCCAAGGAATTAGGAAAACGTGCAAGCCAGCTTACGGTTATCACAGATAACAACCCACTTCTCTCCTTCTAACTCAGTGTGTTTAGGATATACAGGAAATACAATACGATAAAAGATAAAAAGTGTAATATATTTATTTAACAAGACATCGAGACACTGTCCAAGATGACTGAAGTAAAATGATGATTATGCACGCTTTTCCAAATCTATCAAAGAAAAATATCACAACTTCGTCAACTTTAAAAAGGCCTTTGACAGCTTTGACAGCAAAGTAACCTAGTAACCACTTAAACACTACAGAGCGACCCAAATCTTTATCAACCTGATTTAACAGCTGGCTATGTGAAAATGCCGCATGTCATGTGATCCATGACGCAAACACCTCAGCAAGCCGTTCGAAGTGAAGAAAAGATTAAGGTAAGACTGTCTATTAGACTGACCGGTAAGAAGACTCTAGAAGATCTGGATTTCACGAGTGGATGATTTATGTCTAATGTCATACAACCTTGAAGACTTGGAGGCGAAAACCAACAAACTGACAGAAGAAGCAGTAAAGACGGGAATTCAAGTGGACATGGGGGAAACGGAGATGACGAAGATAACCAACAGCCAATCAACCAACAACAACTAGCACCAATCACTGTCAACTGGCGAAATCTGAAAGAAGTTGCTTCCCTCACTAATCTGGGAGAGATCGTCTGAACTACAAGCTTTGAGCGCAAAAAAGGATGTCAAATAATATTGAAAAAAGATAAAGCAGACTTTCGTCAATCTGAAATCGTCTTGGAAATCTTCTGCACTACTAAGCATAAACAATAAAATTCCGATTTTCAACACTTATTTTGACTCAGCCACTGCTTCTATATGGGTCAGAACCATGGCAAGCACGTCACGGGAAGCATTTCCAACAGATATCAGGCTTTTATCAATTGCTGCCTTTTCTGACTGGAGACTGAAGATCAGATGGTCAGCCAAAAAAATTTGCGACATGAAACCATGGGAACGATCCACCCAAGAACCTATCTCCCAACAAACATGCCAGGATGGATTGGCCACACGCTGAAGTGACTGTCGAATAAAATCACACGCCAGACTCTTGACTGGTTGGCGAATGAGAAACAACAAGTGGAACGTTGGTCCGAGCGAGGAAGAGATAAAAGATTATGAACAGTTGTAGGCCCGGCTAAAGAAGACCTCACAAAATCGGAGAAAATAGAGACGTACCACTGAAACTCTGTATTACAACCGGAACCCAACGGAACAATAACTAATAACGATAATAATACCAGGCGGTAGGTATGCAAAAGGCCATGCATGACCTAGAACTGTACATGAAGCTAACTAATGTATTTTAAAGCCTCAGCAGTAATCTTTTCTCTAAATAAAGGACACTTATCCCGCTTCTATCATGAATTACTCTTGAAATTATCTATTCAGATCGATAACGCTTTGTTGTTTACAAAAAAATGAGTCTTAGGTATGAGTTCCATTAGGAATATTGTCACTCACTGACTTCTAAATAGGATAAGGTGTGCCTATTTAATACCCCTGTTAGCTGTGCACCACCACTAGCAAGTAACTCTTGAAACTTATATTGAACAAAGAAAGAATGAACTTATTTGAAAACAGGATAATACAAGATCGTCTTAATTCATGGATTCTCTTCACCTGCGTCATACATCCTAAATAAAATCAATTATAAGTTATTAAATGGTGCCTGAACATACCTTTTAAAGTGATTTCAAGTTATAGGTTGAAAGTATAAGTATAAGCAACATAATTTCAAAGATGATGTAAGTAGACAATTATTTAGTGTGAAAACAGAGTAACTATTTATATTAGTAATTAGACAAGGGAGTGGAGTTCTGATTTCGCTTATTTATTATTTTTGAGGATATATATTTCAAGCAGCTTTTCTACTTTATCGTACTTCATATATTCATATACGGGTAAAATTACAATATTTACGGCAATGAATTACTTCAGAGTAAAAGTAAAATAGGTGAACGCCAGTGATTATTATCCCACTTATCTCATACAGATCATTTTCCTTTGATCCTGAATATCGAATGTTCGTTTGAAAGAGAATAACAACGACGAACTTCAGCAAGTAACGTAATAGCCAACTACCTATTACCGAACAAATATGCAGTTGAGAATGTAGACGGATAGGACACACGTGGAGGCGGCATCTAACGCAAAGCCAACGATTAGGGCCTGAATGGAAAGCGAAGAGTTCGTCGTGTATTCGACTGTGAGATAGAGCAGATCTTTCAATGAGGGGCAGGAAGGGGTGACTGAATGAAAGCTTATGTACAGTCATGAAGCCATTTGAAAGTGATAACACAGAAAAGGGGATACAATGGATGCAATGCCGCTAAGCCCCCACTTTTCACTCGGAAATCAAGTTGGGAATAATAGTAGTATAATAATTATCTTAGAAAAAAAATTAACTTACCATTTTCCAAGTAAATGTCTTCAAACTTTCGTGTACCCGAAAAACGGTTGATCTTTGAATTTATTTCTGTGAAAAAGGAATAAATAATACGAAGAAAATTTTAATTTTAAATATCCGGGAAGAATTGGACTTTTCTTGATACTTAAAAATTACTATTGAGCCAAATAAAGGAAAAGGCATTCAACGAAGATTTACTCCCTCAATTGGCGATATCATTCTCAAGCTGTACAATCGCATTTATATATATATATATAGTTTGTTTTCCTGGCAACAAAAGAAGTATTTCCAAAGATTTGTCATTGGAATTAGACCCATCAGCAGAAGTACTGAGAAACCGCCTGTCTCGCTCATTGAAGAAGACCTCCTTCATAGCTGAACTCCGACTAACCTCCTCTATAAAACCAACGATTCGCATGGATGTGAAGGATCAGCCACCGCTGTTGGCCGGTCTCATCAATGTGCACCTACCAGTTCACTTGCTCTTGTGGAGTTAGATGTGTCGGCGGTATCCAGCGTTTGCTATCTAAACGCATCGACGAACGCCTACCCTCATGGTTTTATAAAGGAGAAAACACTTTTCCCTGAACTCTATTCTAGAACAACTCATCGAATCGGGACACCAAGCAAACCCATAAAGTCACTTCAAACTCATCTACAAAATACGTGGGAATCTTGCTAAAAGAGTACAAATCTAACGTCTTCAAACCGCAGAAGCAATGGCGATTCATCACACGTTAAATCCTGAACTCTGCATACAAAAGAAGTTTGTTCAGTCATTAAATCTACAGTGAACCTGACTTATCTTAACACCAAATACGTAATTTCTGTTTCGTCTTTTTCTTGCTTGTTTGTTTCTTAATTGTATAATATTTTCTTCCCCCACGCCTTATTAAATCTCTACCCTGTATTACCACTGTTGTCAACTTGACTTTTGTTCAATTTTAATTTTAGCTGAGCTCTACTCAACCCCATCAAATAGATTACGTCACTCAACTTGCTTCTTTAATCTTACTTTAGTTTGTAACCCAATAACGAGATCTGTTATCTAAAATTTACAATTCTAAGGTCACATCCTTGGAAATATTCATTTTGGTGTTCGGATGAATTTGGAAATATTCATTTTGTTGCAAAGATAATTTACTATACATATATGCGATTGTACAGCTTGAGAATGATATCGCCGATGAAGCGAGTAACTCTTCGCTGAACGCCTTTTCGTTTTCTGATACTTTGGTGACTAGCAAATGAAACTAGAACTGCTAGCTAGACTCACCACATAAGAAAAATAAAACCGTTCAGTGAGAACCTATGCCAACATACATCGTTCATTATTAGCTCAAGTAAAACAATAAGACAATAGAAATTCAAAATTGAAAGCGGCCTGCTTGAACCTTGGGCTACTCAAAACCCCTGTAATGAAATAAAAACCACCATAATGCCACTAAATAAGTTTCTTTTTCTTCTTTTTTCAGAAAGAAACGCTGACGTGGCCTCACTGGAACAGGAGGAAGATCGTTTGTCCAGACTTGTTATCAATGATGATAATTAGCTTTGTACCCGGTTAATTCAAGCCTGGCGTGGTTGAAATAAACATCTCCCTCTCGTCTCTTCGTCTTCTCCCTTTCCGTTGGTTGTGGCTGTTGCCTTGAGTGTAACACCCCTATCATTAGATTTCACATAATTTCTTGTGTCCAGTTTGTTTCAGTCGATGAAAACATGACCACTAGCTGTATTTTTTACTTTCATAAATAATCCTCATGTAGACACTAATGAAAATAAAACGCGTAGTTCAACAAGGAGTCTCTATTCGCTGGTGAATTCATTCACACTTAGCTGTACAATCACAATTTTATATACTTATTTTTCCATGAGTGTGTGCACATTAGGTTTGTCCGATAAGAATAAAAATAAGTTAGGGTTATTGTTGTCAAGACTAATCTAAAATGTGCCGAATAATCAGATTGTAATTAGGGTGGGGGCAATTCTGTGACCACTTCTATGTGCATACATCAGTTCAATAGTTGCTGTGGAGCCAGATAGCTACATTGGTCGTTCGACGCGTATCATGTCCGAAAGGGTGCAAGAACACAATCCTATATGACCGTAAAAAGGTAACAGTGGCTGTATAAGGAGTGTGATAATTGAACATCTTGTCAACCAACACTGGTCATTCCATCTCAACAAACGCCTCCTCCTTCAATGTGATCTACAAAGTGAAAGATAATCTACCAAATGCAATACACGCTTTCATTTCCTTTGTATAGCTGAAGCCTTAGCCATTCATTTGGAAAAACCAGAGTTATGTACACAAAAGAAAATCATCCAGCCACTTCTACTATCATGGTAACAATTGTGTTGACTTCTACTGACTTGATGTTTCTGTATGCCTGTTTGTTCTTTTTCTAACTACTTGTAACATTTGTAATTTTTAGAACTCTTACATAATTCCATATTTTGCTTTGTTTTTACGTTCATCCTCAGTGCGACTCACTCATTAAACTATTCGTCATATTACGCAACTGTGTTGCGCTTTTTCCACTCCGTTTATGTGTTGATTAACATTAACAACTACGTGGTATTTTTGGACAACGCATCACCACAACCCTCTACCCAATCTTCACCCCCACCCAGCCCTAGTTACAATTTGATTATTGATCACAGTTTTGAAATGTCTTGATAACAATAACCCTGACTTATTTTTATTCTTATCGAATAAACCTAATGTACACACCCATATACACAAATAAGTATATGTAATGGCGATTGTACAGCTAAGTGTGAATGAATTCGTCGGCGAAAAGAGACTCTACACTGAAGTACACGTGTTTTGTTTTCACTAATATTTTTTACCTTCCGGAGTATTCAAGATATCTAAAACCTTTTTATTCTCAAATTTAGTAGAAACAGAAGATAACTGTTCCTAAGAATTTCGGCGCTAACTAACTGAAGTCTTCAATTATTCACTTATGTCCTTGGGTCTCAGGTCATACTCCTGCTCCTCATTTAGTTGACTTTCATCCAAATGTCATCCATTTCCCGAAAAAAAGAAAAGATATCATAAAGGATTGGTTTACGTTTTAGGTCAGACAACAACGTGCCAGGTGATCTACTGTCACAGTTAATATTTTACTTGAAGATCTTGGACAAAGAGAAACTATTGTGGTAATAGCCGTCTACAAGCCAAAACTGTAGACAGCAATTTACGTCAATGTATACCTCTCGAATAGGGATTATGAGAAAAAACAATAACAAAGCTTAACCTTGAGGAACCTACCAACCAATCACAGCAGACTTAACGTGTGCAAATAAGATTCGCAGATATATGGTTTAACTTTCTAAGAAACGGTCACAAGCAGTACAGAATAACGTTCAGCAAGAAAACAACCAACCAGAAGAAGTTGCTTATCTACTAACAATAACGCTAACAATAATGTACATAAAAATCTATAAATATCTGTTGATTTTCTCAATAAATGATCTGTTGCTGGCCCTTGTTTTCTGTTGCGCTGAAAATTCTGTACATTAAATTTGAAAATTCTTAAAAAGGTATTGTTCCATTCAGAACTGAAGGTAGATTTTTGTAAACCACCATTAGTATTATACATTTCGGACCTGCATAGTGAAGTCAATATGATTACAAAACAGTGGGAAATGAATAATAGTGGTAATGGAGATGATGAATAATCGTAAGAGAATTCATACACTATGGAGAAGTCTCATGTAAAGAGAAAACGAAAGGTGTTGTCTATGTGTATGAAAAATCTGCCCCTCATTGAACACAGTTCACATTTCTACAAGCCTGAACGTTACCTTGAGTTTCTCTACCCTCTCCCCTTAATGGAGGCAATTGATTGGACACTACATAGTTAGTGACCAGTATTATGAGCCTGGTCATTCGTTTGGTGTAGACTGAATTCTATCAGTCAAGTTAACCAATATGGCCACACCATGCTACGTAGCTCACCATCACGGTGGACTCTGCACTGTTAATAACAGATGGCTTCAAACGATTGACAGGAAGCCTTGGGTTAGGTATCGTATTTGTTATCGCTTTTCAATAAGGCCTATTTGCAATCTTGAAGGAACTCCTGTCCCTCCTGAGATTCGAACCCATGTAGCCCAGTGATACAGTCAGAGGCATTACCACTGAGCTATTCAGGCTCGCGACTGACCTCTTACAGGAGTACACATTCGATACTTTGATTGAATACTATGAAATGGCAAGTAACTAGTACATTGCGCCTAGTGCTTCGTTTGGTGTAGACTGAATTCTATCAGTCAATTTTGCCAATATGGCCACACCATGCTGGGTGGTTTACCACGATGATTCACTATAAATTGTTGTTAGATAATGGGAGGTACATAACCTAGGTCTAAGGTTTCCTGTTGATTGCACTAAATGAATGACAGAAATGAATCACTACTTTTGATAGCTCAGTGATAACGTCTTAGACAGCACAGTTGACTGATTCAGGATTGAAACCTAGAATGGAGATGAGTTTCTTCCGTGATTACAGACACACCTTCCTGACAAGTTCCAATAAGCACAAAACCTAGGTCGATGGCTTCCTGCTGACTACCTCTAGACATCATGGCTAATCTTCGTCATTTCAGAACTAGATGACACAAGTCTCTGTTGATATAAAACAGAAAGTAACGCACCCTACTATATCCATAGTACATGCGTCCCATTGTTGCATTCAAAAACAATACGAAAAGTAAGATATTGTTTTAAGGTTCTCAGTGAACTCACTACTCGAATAATGATGGCTAGCAAGACGAAGTGAATATACTTGCATTCCCATTTATGGAATGATAATGATGGTCATGATTGCACAGTGTGACTTGATCCCAGCCAGTATCTACCATTTTGAATGTTAAATTGTTCACAAATAGACCTCTAGATGACGAGAGACACCACTGGTACAATGAGTATCAAAATATCTACAACAAATATATATTATCTGAGTCAGTGGTTTAACACTAGAACACATGCCAACTACGTCTAACATGGTCAGGGGTTCAGCCCGCGGCTGATGTACTCCTACCGCTTGCTTAACTGGTAA